GATGGTGCTTTCAGTGCCCGCACAAGTCCTGCTGGGAAGAGATGTACAAGATTCAGGATTCCAGCTCTTTGGGTGCCGTCCCATCCCGCTGGCTGGAAGTTGGGAAGCTGGGACTCACAAACTGCACCAAGACCTCAGGGGATAGAGCCCTGTGTTTGCTGAAAGCAAGGACATCAGCTGGCAAGTCTCACTGGTCTCACTGGTCAGCAAAAGGATTTGGGTTTTGTCCACAAGGCCAATGCAAAGACCATTTTGCACCCCTGCGAGAAGCACTTCCCTGGAGAACCCGCAGCCTGTGCCATACAGAGAAGGTGGGAGTGAGGAACGGTGGAGTGGTGACAAAGGGAAGGAAAGGAGCCACTCATTGGTAGCCATTATTATGATCCAATTATTATTTTTAAATAAATAGAGCTGTGGGAAAGGTGATGAAGCAAATGAGGGTATAAAGTAAAAATCTGTATTGCTGATAATATAAACCCAACCCAACGTGCTTGCAATGGTATCATATTGAGGGATAAACTGACTCAGTCCTAGCAGTTTCCTGTTAATAATTTGGATGCTCAGTGTAATAGCCACAGCCACGAAAAAGATGAGAAACACACATCCCCACACCCGTTCTGATCAGCACCTTGGGCTCCATTTCAATTGCCCCCATGTATGGGATGCCTAAGGCAATTCTCCTGCTCAAGAGGCATCTTCCACAACACACTGTGAAATGATAATGATAACTACCATGAAGATAGATTGAAACCCCTCCATCTAGGGCACTGTGCCTTGAGGTCAGGCAGCGTTCATCACCGGCATCAACCAACCCTCGTGCTCAGGGTTGAAGCTCTCCCCCTGCTCACCTGATGGTAAATGGCCTCCCAGTTCTCCCGCAGCGCTCCCCAGCTGCCCACGCTGGCCGCTTTCTTGTCCAGGTAGACTCTGATGTGCTCCTCCAGCTCCTGGTTGACCTGCTCGAGGGCTCGCACCTTCTCGATGTACTCCACCAAGCAGGCGTTCAGGCTCTCGTAGGAGAGGCCCCGGCCCTTCTCCAGCCCCGCGGCCAAGGGCACGGCGGCGGAGGAGCTGCGCAGGCCCTGGAGGAACACGCTGCTGATGCCCAGGGCTCTGCGGGACACGCGGGTGCCCAAGCTG